ACTTTGTTGTTTGGTTCTAGAGCTCTGGACAGCTTTCTTTTAAGATTTCTTGAAATATAATGCCTAGGCATTTGGGCAGTCCAGTGACTTAAAAATTTTTTTCTCCTTGTTTTCTATGTCATTTGTTTTGGCTAGGAAGCAGCTTATATTTTCTTCTACTTTTTGCATTCTTTTGACTTTGTCAATATTTTTTTGCTGTATAATGGAGACATGTCTTCTATTTGGTCCACTGTAATTTTCAAAGACTGTTGTTTGGGCAACGTTTATACCTCTTGTGCCAAACTATTAATTTCCTTTCCAATTCTTTCTTTTATAGCTCCCACTTCTTTCCTATTTGTTTTTCTCAAGAATTCTCATCTTACTGATAAAAAGTTTAAACTGTTTTTTAAAGCCAACTCTTCCTGGAAATCTCATTAAACTTGTGTCCAAGCTTTGTTTTTCTTTGAGGCTTTGCTTGTAGATGTTTTGGAGTCATTCTATTCTTCTGGATTTGTGTCTTTGGTGCCCCTATCACGACAACAGCTTTTCCTGGTGGGATTCTTTCTCTTATTTGTTCATTCTTCAAGCCTATTTCCTGACTTTGGACTTGAAGTCAGGCTAGGTTCTACACACTTCTAGAGGGAATGTCTGGTCAGGGCTAGGTTCTACACACTTCTAGAGGGAATGTCTGGGCTGGGCCTGCTGCTGTTTTCTTGGGGTAGTGAGTATTGTCTTACTCCAGGACCTCAGGGACAACTCTAGCTGAGGACCTGCAAGTCTTCAGTGACCCCAAAGTGCTCTAATCCAGAGCAAAATCTGATTGTTATCACTTTGGCCTGACCTTTTCAAGTTCCTGATGTGGGTCTGGGTCTGAGTAATGTTAGACTTCTGTAGGACTCAGCCCCTATCATCCAGATGGAATTTTCTGCTGGAGAACCAACAGACAGAACCAGAGTGACAGAACTGCAGGCTTCTCTTTGCTCTGGGATTCCTTCCCTACAGGAAGTAAATCCTCTACAAGCTTCAGATTGGGATAAAAGATGAAACTGAAACCTGGCTTTGTTCCTAGGAAGTCTAAGTCATACCACTGCTGCTTTTGCTGAATTTATTCCTTCTCAGGAAGGCCCTGCCCAGAGCCTTCCACCACTCCCTACCACATTTTACAGCTGGATTCCCATCCCCTCCTCAATCCACTCTACATCTGTGACCAGGAACTGGGTAGAGACAAAGCAACCAGCTGGCATCTGTTCTGTCACAGTGAGTCAAATGGGTCTAAAAGTGCCCAGTATAGGTCTGGGACATCTTCTTGCCCCAATTCACAGCCTCTCCCTGGTCACATATATGCTCCCCATACAATGTGCTCCTGGCCCTACCTGTCCCCTGACCTTTGTGTGTGTTTCCCAATATTAGCCTGTGCTGGAAAAATTATGCACTGTGACCTTTTCTTGGATTTCTCTATCAGGATTCAGTCTGATATGTTTTTTTATGTTTGTTTATAGGAGTGCTATTGGCTCCACAAATGATCACTTAATTGTCAAATCTAATGGCCTTTTCTCAGTTTTGATCCTTCTTGACCTCCCTGCAGAATGATACTGCTGATCACTTTCTCCTCTTGACATTTCTCCTCTGTAGGTTTTCTTAATAGTGCTTTCTTTTGGTTCCCTCCTACCAGTCTGACAATTCCTTTTCAATCTCCTTTGTTAGCAATTCATCTATGTCATACCCACCAACTGTGGTTGTCTCCCAGGGCCCTCTTCTATTTTCACTCTATACTGTCTCACATTATCACACTGAATCAGATGAATCCCAAATCTGTGTATCTAGCCCCAGTCTTGTTCCTCCATGACAAACTTCCTCTTAGGCATTTCAAACTGGATGTTCATAGGCCTCTCAAACACATTTCCAAAACAAGACTCATTATCTTTCCTCACAACCCCTACTATAAAGGGTACCAACATCCTTTCTATCACCCAGGTTTACAACCTCAGAGTTACCTTTCCACTTAAATACTACCCTAATTCAGGCCTTCATCACCTCTTGCCTGGAGTAGTTGCTAAATGATTTTCCAGTCTCAGGTCTATCACCATTCTATTGAATTCTCCATTGTTGTTGTTTCACTAAAGGATGAAGCTGATTGCGTCACTATCTACCCCATCCAAAAATATTCACTGGCTCCCTATTACATTCAAGATAAAATATAAAGTTCTTTGTTGGCATTTAAAGCTTTTTACAATTTAGTTTCTTCCTATTTTTCTAGACTTCTTATATTTTACTCTCCTCCACATACTATGTAATCCAGCCATACTGGCATACTTGCTATTCCCAAAACACAACACTCTATTTCGACTTTGCACTGGCTGTTCCCTATGCCTGGAATGCTCACTTCTTAGAATCCCTGGCTTCCTTCAAAATACAGCTAACAAAACAATTTCTACAATAGGCCTTTTCCAATCCCCCCCACTGCTAGTGTCTCTTCTTCCAAGGTTACCTCCATCCTTCCCCGCCTCTATCATATGAGAGCCTGTAATAAACACACACATACATATACATATTTATACACACACACATATATATCTTGCATGTACTAATTATTTACATTTTGTTTATTCACTAAACTGTAAGCTCATAGAGGGCAAGAACTACCTTTGCCTTTCTTTGCATCCCTAGACTCAGCACAGTTCCTGGCACAAAGTGAGCACTTACTAAATGTCTGCTGATTGACTAATCCTACAAATAGCATAATCTCAGGATTAATGGTACATAAAGATATTTTTGGAGAAAAACTGACAGCATAGCTGTCTAAGCAACGAGCAAGAAACTCTGCACTATTGTTTACCCTTTTGAGAGACAATCCGTGTGAACCTAGTGAGTACAGCTATGTTTCCTATTTTTGCCACTCCAAAACTACATATAAAACTCAGATTTTAAGGGCCAAACAATTTAGAGTTTTTTCACATTTATTGGGAAATTACTTGAGTTAAAAATGAAGTGGCTTTGGTCATGGCTGCTTTAATTCAGCAGAGAATCTTAGAGCAATGTAAAGCATGTGAAACCAAGATTCATTAGATAACCAACACCAGGAGATGATTTTTAGCTTGACTAAACTCTATTTGATCGGTAGCTTTCTGAAAGATTCCATTCGCACAACAAATGGAAGGACCAAAAGAACCTGTACCATCGGACTGATATAACATAGAACCTACATGCCGGACACCGTACGAAGCGCTTTCCAAATACCATCCATGAGTACTTTGCACTTCGAACGTACTTATTCTGTACTTGATTAGTATCTAGTACTTCGTATTCTCAAAGTAATTTTCTCCAGGACAATAATGATAGCACTTCAAAGTCTGCCAAGCTCTTCACAAAAACTGCCTCCCTTGATCCTCAGAGCAACCCTGTGAGGTAGAAGCTGTTATTATCCCCATTTTACAGAGGATACTCAGGTTGAAAGTAGATGACTCTCTTGCCTAGGGTTACACATACAGCTACTAGGATTTGAACTTAGGTCTTCCTGACTCCAAGTTCAGCCCTTTATCCAACATAACATCTAGCTGCCTGTAGATAAATGCAAATGTACATATTAATTCATATTTTGTTCTTGTTTAAAGAGAACATCCTCATTTTAAAGCCCTAATTTAAAACAAAAGCTTATTGAGATTTCTCATTTTTTTTTTGTTTCCAAAGGAAGGGTCTGACACTTTGCTGAATGCAGTCACATTATGACAAATCATGCTGAACTAGCTGTTTCTTCAAAATTCCACATTTCTGTAAGGACATCATCATTTTCTCAGTTACCCAAGTTCATGATATCCGAGTATTCCTTGACTCTTCCTTATAGCTTGCTCCTTATATTTAACTGGTTGCCAAGTCTCGTCACTTCTACCTTCACAACCTCTCTGTCTTCCCTTCTCTGCTCTCCAAAGTAACTAATTTCCTACCTCAGGCCCTCATCACCATTTGCCTAAAGTATTAAAACATCTTTCTAACTGGCAGCCTCCCCTGTTGCCAATCAATCTGCTCTACAACTTAGCCTCTACAAAGCTGCCAAAATAATCTTCCAACAATTAGCTCTCATCATAGCATTCCTCTACCCAAAAATCTTCAGTTACTCCATAGTGTTTCCAGAATAAATTAACTTCTCAGCCTGGTTTTCAGAGGCATCCTTAATCTCATACCCACCAACCATTCCACACTTATTCAACAAGTTTATAGTAAGTGTTTACTATGTGTCAAGCACTAAACTAAGTGCTGAGGATACGAAATTTTAAAAAAAAGTGGCACCAATCAAGCAGCATACATTCTAGTGAGAGAGACAATAGGTAAACAACTAAGTAAGCTACAACTACAGTAAATGGAAGATAATCTGCAAGAGAAAGTATTAGTAGCTGAGAGAGGTGGGGGGAACCAGAAAAGGCCTCCCGAAAGTGTGCGTTGAGCTTGAAGTGAGCCGGGTAAACTAAGAGGCAAAAGAGACCGAGTAGACCAATCCAGGGCATGAGGCCATGTGGTACAAAGGCCTGGATGGAAGCCTGGGATAGATGAGCTATAGAATGTATGGATCTTCAAGCACTTTTAATTGCAGGCAAGAGTCAACATGCCACCTCCGCGTTCTTGCACAGATTATTTCCCATCCTTGGAATACATTCCCTTTTCTCAGGAACATCAGCTTCTTTCAAAGCTCAGCTCTGGTGTCATTTCCAATTAAAAACCTTTCCTGATTCTCTATAGATCTCAGTACTCTTACCTTCCTGAAATTATTTTATATTTACTCAAAGTTTATTTAATTTTTGTGCTTGTATCCCCAGCTTTTTACAGAGTACTTTAGGTATGACAGATGCTTAATGATTGTAAAATTGAATTGAAGGGTAAAAGTTCTTCATTTGCTTAAAAGATTGAAATTTTAAAGGTCTTCCAATTTGTCCAAATTGGAAAAGGAGGCACACCCTCTACTAAATGGCATGCAATGCATTAGCAGTCTAGTAAGGGGGAAAGAGGGTTAACAAAAAAAAAAACCTTACCTGTAGAAGGTCACTGAGATCAAGTAACATATCTGTGAGAAAAGTCAAGGAAACATACTTTTCAGTTAAAGAACTAAGAAAGCAGGATATACAATATCCATAATGTACAGGGAAAAAAGCAGTAAGACAACTGGTTCCACAAGATTGGTGACAGAACTTTTTTATTACCCTCTTCTTAATAAATGAGGTACATTACAGATGGCAGATGCTACCTATGTGGTCTGACACAATTAATATGTCTGTATAACTATTTGTCCTTGTTTAAAAAGGGGGGCAGGAAGGCTAAAATTGGGAAGTTAAAAATGATCTTTAAAAATAAAGCTTTGATATTTTTTAAACTAGATTAGCCACAGGCAACATTAAATAAATGCTTTTCAAGTGAATTTATTGAACTTTATAAATAGAACTTGAGGGTTGCTTCAAAGTAGCAAAACTTAGAAAATTTTGAGTGAAGATGATAAAAATCTCTCCGGAATAGGAAAAATTAATTATTTTTATAAGTAGAATGCAAAAGGCTACATTGAAATGTAAAAGCAAAAAGCACAAATTTATTATTTATTTTATAAAATAGTATAGGTCAAGATACTTTCAAAACATATTATATACATGCAAATTTCAGTATTGCAATACTGAAATTAAGCATCCACTCTGAAACAAATAATGTAAATTCTGTTGTGTACCAGTAGGAATAGAAAGAAAAACAGTGCTAAAAATCACATGATCGCAAAATAGACAAATTCAATTCAATAAACATTTATTAAGTGCGTACTACATATGCACTGGGGATACAAAAATAGGCAACAGACAGTCCCTTACCCTTAAGGAGCTGACAGTCCAACAGGGAAGACAACATGCAAACATATATACAAAGCAAGCTACATACAGGACAAATAGGAAATAATAAAAAGATGAAAAGCATTGGAATTAAAAGGGGTTAGGGAAAGCTTCCTGTAGAAAGTGAGCTTTTAGTTGGGACTTAAAGACAGGGAGGTCAGTAGTCAGAGGAAAGGGTGAGTGTTCCAGGCACAGTAGACAAGCAGAAAAAAGGCCCAGAGCAGAGAGATGAAGTTTCTTGTTCATGGAACAGCCAGGAAGCCAGCGTCACTAGATCAAATAGTATGTATTGGGGAGTAAGGCATATGGGATGGGGCTAGGTTATGAAGGGCTCTGAATGCCAAACAGAACATTTTGTATTTGATTCTGGAGGTCATAGGAAGCCACTAGAGTTTATTAGGGTGAGGGGTTAGGGGGTAAACATGATCAGACCTGCATTTTAGGAAAATCACATTAGTGGCTGAAAATGGATTGGAATGGGGAGAGACTCGAGGAAGGCAGACCCACCAGCAGCCTATTGCAGTAATAAAGGCATAAGGTGATGCAGGTCTACACCAGAATGGTGGCATATTCAAGAGCTGTTGTAAAGGTGAAATCAACAGGCCTTGGAAAGAATTTAGATATGAGGGGTAAGATATGGTAAGGAATGCAGGATGACTCTTGGGTTGCAAGTCTGAGGGACTGGGAAGATGGTGTTGCCCTCTATAGGAAGGGTGGAGGAAGGGTTACAGGGAAAGAATAAGTTCTCTTTTGAACATACTAAGTTTAAGATGTCTTCTGGGTGTCCAGTTTGAAATGTCTGAAAGGCAGTTGGAGATGTGAGATTGGAGGCAAGCAGAAAGATTAGAGCATCAACACAAAGATGGTAACTAAATCCATAGGAGCTGACAAGATCAAAAAGTTAAGTGTGTACAGAGAGAAAAGAGGGCCCAAGATAGAACCCTGAGGGACACCAATGGCTAGCAGGTGTGATCTAGAGAAGGCTCCAGCAAAAGAGACAGAGAAGGAGAGGCCAAATAGGTAGGAGGAAACCAGGTGAGTATGATGTCCCAAAAACCTAGAGAGAAAAGAGTACCAAGGAGAAGAGACAGATCAACAGTGTTAAAGGCTGAAGAGAGGTCAGAGAGAATGAGGATTTAGAAAAGATCACTGAATTTGGCAACTAAGAGATCATTGGTGACTTGGGAGAGAGCAGTTTTGGTGCAATGTGGATGTACCCATTGTAGACCACTTTGTCAAGTTTAGCTAAAAAGGGAAGGAGAGAAACAGGATAATAATTAGCAGGGATGGAAGGATCAAGAGAGGGTTTTTTTTTTTCAGGATAGGAGAAGTAGGCATGTTTGTAGGCAGTAGGAAATAAGCCAGCAGAGAGGGAGAGATTGAAAATAAGTGAAAGAGTAAGAATGGCAAAGGCGGCAATCTGTTGGAGAAGACAGAATGGAACAGGATCACTTGAACAAGTAGAGGAGTTAGCCTTGGTTGAGTAAGGATACTTCATCATATGAAACAGGGGTGAACAGAAGGTGACAGAAAGCACCTGAGAGATGAGAAAGAGGGAAGAAGTTCATGGCGAATAGCCTCAATTTCTTAGGGAAAATGTGAAGCAAAGTCCTCAAACAAGAGAATGTGGAGAAGGGGAGTCATGAGAGATCTGAGGAGAGATGAAAAGGTTTGGAAGAGCTGCTATGGAGTGTGGGATAGCGAGTCGAAAAGGGAAGCATAGTAGGATTGCCTAGAAGCAGTGAGGGCTAGTTGAGGTTGTGTTAACATAAATTTGCATTGGACCCAGTCAGAAAGGTTATGTGATTTTCTCCATTTTCATTCAGTAACATGTGTGTATGCACAAAGGCAACAAATGGTGGGAGTGATCCAAGACTTGGCTTGGCTGGGTATAATGAGTGATATGATAAGGAGGCTAGGGATTCAAGAGAGGACAGTGCAGAGCTGAACTGGTTCACCAAGGAGTCAAGATGAGAAGAGAGAATGGCTACTGCAGGGGAGAAGGTATGGGAGAGAATTGAGGGATTAAGGAATTGGAGGTCACAGTGACAATGAAGAATAGGGTTGCAAAGGGAAGGCAGAGGGAGAGGTGAAAAGCCTAGAGATTGTGTTCAGATAAGAGGATTTCAGGATTCTTGAAGATAGAGTGGTACATCTGACAGTGATGGCAAGATCCAGGGTACATCCATCATTTGCGTATGACTGAGGCGAGGTGAAGGAGTAATTCTAAGAAGGTAGAAAGGCTGAGGAATGGAATGGTTAGGATATCTGAGGGAGAATCAGTATGTATTTTAAGTCCCTTTTTAATAGGGAAGGAGTTATGGAAGAGAGAAAAATTGTAAGCCAGCTACCAAACTCACTGAGGAAGGAAGCATATAAAATGTGGCTCTATACAGAAGAGAGACTAGAATCAATCTAATAACCTAATATCTATTTTTAGATTTCTCGTGAAAAAAAAAAGCAAAGCTCTATTAATAAATTCAAACAATGAAGTTCCCCTATATTAGGTGACCGAAAGGAAGATACCATATTGAATCAAACATAAGTTGCCACTAAACAGAGGTCATTTTTTTTTAATATGTGATCTCTTTGAAAAGAAAAATATAGGAAGATGGTGGATAAAAGGCAGGAAGCTGCCTAAGCTCTCCCCAGTTTGACTTGAAACAACTTTAAGTCAAGCCTCAAAACTAATTCTGGAGCAACAGAACCCACAAAAGGAAGGTCTGAAACAATTTTCCAGCCCAACATAACTTTTAAGTGCTGCAGGAAAGGTCTGTTTCACTCAGGTAAAAGGAGAAGGCAGCCCAACAAAGGCAGTGCCCAAGTAAACCAGCAGGAGGCCTCCTAACCCCAGCAAGGATCAGCAATAAAAGCCCTGCCCTCCCAGCTCAGCAGGTGAGCCACCAGCCTCGGAGGCACTGGCACAGCATGGCAGTGACCAGGCGCCTGACCTTCAGCCCAACAAGCCTGGGACAGTACCTCCTGTACCCCAGGAGCAGAGCTCAGCTCTAAATGTCACGAAACAGGCTGAAAAATGAGGTGGAGACGCCCCGACTACAGAAAGCTATTGTGGCAAGAGGGAAGGTCAAAGCACAAACTAAGAAGAGGGCAAGAATATCAAAACACCAACATGCAAAGCCTCAAAGACAAATAGTAATTGATCTCTGACCCAAAAGGTCCTTCTGGACTCAAAAAGGATTTTAAAAATCAAATAAGAGAAGGAGAAGAAAAACTGGAGAAAAGAAATGATTCAAGAGAATCATGAAGAAAGAGTCAATAGCTTGTTAAAAAAAAGAGTACAAAAAATGGAAAAAGATGTACAAAAATTCAGTGAAGAAGACAACTCATTAAAAAGTGGAATGGGCCAAATGGAAAAGGAGGTATAAAAGCTAACTGAAGAAATTAATTCCTTAAAAATTGGAATCTGAAAGCTAATGACTCCTTGAGGCATCAAGAATCAATCAAACAAAATTTTTAAAAAATGAAAAAATAGAAGAAAATGTAAAATTTGATTTTCAAATATAAGACACAAGAAAAGCATAAAAAGATAAACAGGAAAGAAAAAAATAATCAATAAGGTTAAACTGTTTATATCCCTACATGAGAAAATGATACTTGTAACTGTTAAGAAGTGTATCTCTTTGAGAGCAGTTAGAAGGAGTATACATAGACAGAGGGACTGTAACTCTTAAGAAATATATCTCTATGAGAGCAATTAGAAGGAGTATGCATAGAGAAAGGAACTTTGATAGGATGATGTTAAAAAAAATTAAGGGGTGAGAAAGAGGGAAAGGAGAGGCAAAATGGGGTAAATTATATCACATGAAGAGATACAAAAGACCTATTACATTGGAAGGAAAGAAGGAAGAGGGGTTAGCATTGTTTGGACCTTACCCTCACTGAATTTGGCTCAAAGAGGGAATAGTGTATACACTCAATTGGGTATAGAAATCTGTCTTCCCCTACAGAGAAGTAAGAAGGGAAGGGGATGGGGGGGGCAGAGAGTAAGGGGAGTAGATTGAAAGAAGGGTGGACTGGGGAAGGTGACAGTAAGAAGCAAAACACCTTTGAGGAAGGACAGGGTGAAAGGAGAGAGAGAAAAGTGTAAAAAGGAGGAAAATAGGATGGAGGGAAATACACAGTTAGTAACCATAACTGTGAATGTGAATGGATGAACTCTCCCGTAAAATGCAAGTGG